TCTCAGGAGCCCTGGCACCCCAGTGACTCTGTTTTCTGTGTCCCTCTGCAGGTGATCAAGGCCATCAACAGAGTCCTGCTCTGCAGAGTCATCTGCCTCGCCGGTGTCGATGCAGTTCTCAGGAGCCCTGGCACCCCAGTGACTCTGTTTTCTGTGTCCCTCTGCAGGTGATCAAGGCCATCAACAGAGTCCTGCTCTGCAGAGTCATCTGCCTCGCCGGTGTCGATGCAGTCATCAAGGGGTCTGGCACCCTAAGCTTCCCAAACTGCGGGAGAGCCATTGATGGGACACATATCCCCATCTGTGCCCCGGAACATCTCAGGAGCCCTGGCACCCCAGTGACTCTGTTTTCTGTGTCCCTCTGCAGGTGATCAAGGCCATCAACAGAGTCCTGCTCTGCAGAGTCATCTGCCTCGCCGGTGTCGATGCAGTCATCAAGGGGTCTGGCACCCTAAGCTTCCCAAACTGCGGGAGAGCCATTGATGGGACACATATCCCCATCTGTGCCCCGGAACACCAGGCTTCCATGTTTATAAACCAGAAGAGAAACTTCTTGGTTATCCTGCAGGCTGTGACTGACCACTAAGGCCACTTTCTGGACATTAATGTTGATTAGTCGGGCAAAGCACACGATGCACGCCTGTACTGCAACTCCTCCATGTGCCAGAGGTTGCATGCTGGGACCTTCTTTCCCGACAGCCACTTCAGGATCAGGGATGTGGACATGCCATTCTGCCTAGTGGGGGATGCGACTTATCCCCTACAGTCCTGGCTCATGAAGCCCTACACGGGACACCTCAATCTTTCCCGACATGCCTTTAATGCCAGGCTCAACAGAGCCCACATGATGGTCGAGGGTGCCTTCGGGTGGCTGAAGACACAGTTTGGGTGCCTCCTCACCTGCCTGGATCTTGCGCAGTGGAATATTCCGCATGTGGTGGCAGCGTGCTGCACAATGTGTGTGAGTGGAAAGGGGAGGTCTTCTTGCCAGGCTGGGTGGCAGAGGCGGAGCACTGGGCCAGCTTGTATGCGCAGCCCCACATGGCTGCTAGCCAGGAGGCTCATTGGGGGACTGTCTGCATCCAGGAGGCCCTGAGGGAGAGCTTCTACCCAGAGGAGCAGTAACCGTGTTCCCTGGTTGGCCCCACTGGAGGCTTGTGCTTCATTCCTCCCTCACATCCCTCCACTTATCCCTCCCTAACCCCTTCTTCCTGATGGGAAATAAATACGTGTGTTGATTAAAAAGTATCCAGGAGGCCCTGCAGGAGAGCTTCCACCCTGAGGAGCACTAAGAGCCACTGGGGGCTTGTGCCTCATTTCTCCCTCACGTCCTTCCACTTACCCCTTCCTCACCCCCCTTCCTGATGTCAAATAAAATACACGTATTTTTATGAACACAAACTATCTTTATTGAACAAAACTGGGGGGAAGGGGATGACACTTTGGTGAGGCTGGGGAAAGGAGGCGGGAGAGGGGAGAGCCTGTGGGAGGGGAAAACTTGGGAGGAGGGAGCTGGAAGGGGGAAGAGAGGCTCAGGGTCGGAGCGGCACCAGGGCCGTTGGCTCCCAGCACCACGGATGCAGGGGCCTCAGCATCCCCGGGAGTGTGTGGAGGACATGGAGGGAGAATCAGGAGAAGGAAAGGGAGTGGGAGGAGGCGCGATCGCTGGGAGGGGCAGCAGAGGCGGAAGTGGGAGGAGACAGCATCCTCTGCACCACAGTCTGCAGATGGGCGCAGATATAGTGGCCCTGGGTAAGCTGCTCCCCCCAGCTCTGCTGCTAGAGCTGCAGGTCTTCTTCGACCCAGTGGGCGATGTAGGACTCACAGCGTCCCCAGATGCTGCCGCTGGTATTTGTCCATTGGCCGGGTGGGCCTGCGGAGCCCTCGGGTGCGGGAGGATGTTCTGGGTGGTGTGGTGTACTCTCCATTAGCAGCTGGTCCGGCTGTGGAGAACAAGGACAAATGGTCACTCATCCCTGAGGATATAGTGCCTGAAGCCCAGCCCCCCTCTGCAAGGTGAGGACGACAGTTGATGTGCTTGAACACAAGCCATGTTTGGTATGTCCAGGGGGCCCTGCTATCCCCAGTAGTGAGAGCTGCCCCAAGAGTGCGCCCATGCCCCTGAATCAGCATGTGTGTGTGGGGGAACGGGGGGAGGAGGGGATGTCCCCTGCCTCCTTGTAGAGGGTCTTGTCCTGCCGTATCCCACCCCGGGGTCAGGAGCATGTGATATCTCTCCACACACCCTTGTGGCTAACAGGCCAAGGCTCCTGTGTGGCAGCCAGCTGGGGCAATGTGCGCAGTCCCTGGTCCCCTCTCCCCCCTGCATAAGGGGACAGTGCTGGGACTCACATGATGTTCATGGCCTCGGATGACACCTGGGACAGGTCCGCAGGGATGGCTCGGGGGTTGTGGCTCAGCTGGACGGTGATGCTGGCCTCCTCTGGCTCCTGGCCCTCCTCCTCTTCCTCCCCCGTGCCATCATCAGGGCCCTCAGGGAAGACGACATCGGCTGGCTTCACCCCGGATTTGATGACAACCTGCGAGGAACTGACTGTCCCGCCCCCCAGGATGCAGTCCAGGGCATCGAAGTAGGTGCAGCTGTCTGTGTCTGCTCCTGGTTGGGAGCTGCCATCTCTGGCCCTGCCACAGGCCTGCTGCAGTTCTTTAATCTTCATCCGCACCTGTTCCTGGGTGCAGATGTGGCCTCTGTCAGCCATGCTGGCAGCCATACGGCCGTGTTCCTGTGTCTGGTGCAGAGATCATGGAGCTTGGTGGCATCCCCCCAAACTTCAATATGGTCCATCACCTCCACACTAGACCAGGAAGGCACCCGTCTCTTTTGGCCCCCGGCAGGCTCTTGGGAGCTGGAGGACTGCTCCTGGGGAGCAGTGGAGGGCTGGCTGGTACCGGCTGGCTGGCTCTCTTTGGTGCCACTGAGTCAGGGCTGCAGCAGAGTGGCTGGAGACGCAGAGGGGCTCCAGACAGACTCTAGACCAGCCATGACCAACCTGAGGCTCATGAGCCACATTCAGCTCGTCCCCTGCTCCCCCAGGTGCGGCTCACAAAGCCCCCCCCTGTGGCTCATAAGCCGCCCCTGCACCCCCAAAAATGGCCCTCTCCTTCCAGCTCCCTGTGCTGACTTTGGCAGGGGAGCCATCTGGCGCGACCATGAAAGATGAGAATTAAAGATAGACCAGCCATGACCAACCTGAGGCTCATGAGCCACATTCAGCTCGTCCCCTGCTCCCCCAGGTGCGGCTCACAAAGCCCCCCCCTGTGGCTCATAAGCCGCCCCTGCACCCCCAAAAATGGCCCTCTCCTTCCAGCTCCCTGTGCTGACTTTGGCAGGGGAGCCATCTGGCGCGACCATGAAAGATGAGAATTAAAGATGGCGTTGGGAGCCTGCTGTGGCCAAA